AGTAGCCTCCTGCATCCCTCGGTCGCCGCACCCCTCCGGCTGGAGGGGGCGTGCGCCACCCGCGAGCTGCGCCCCAACTTGTGCGGCTTGGCAGGGGCGCTCCTCCGCCTCCACCTCGCTCTCCGAATCGATGTCCAGACGGCGGTAGCCCGTGGCGTCGGTGATGTAGCGGGGCTCCGGCCGGCCCCGGCACAGCCATCCGAGAACCGACCAGGGCGAGCAAAGCAGCCACTTGACGACCCCGAATACCTTCCGGAGTCCCACGCCGACTGCCCGGCAGGCCGTGGCCCTTCCGTGCTCAGCCAAGTCCACGATCTGTGCGTGGTCAATGGCCGCGTACTGGTCGACGTGCATGGGATGCGCCACTGGACAGGAGGCGCACTCGACAGCACGACATAGATGCACATTCCCTGTCTCCTCGAGGTTCAGCCGCCACTTGCGACTGGTGCACCCCAGGACCTGCCCGATCTTGATGTTGAGCCCGTGGCGGTCCAATCGGTACCGGTCCGCAAAGTTGCAGCTGATGCGGGCCACCTGCCCGTGCTTACGCAGCAGCACGTGGTTGTACGCCCGATTGGTCCCTCGGCCGCGGACCCCCTTTGTGTAGAACTCTGTCTCCACCACGCCGCCCAAGCCCGGCCCGCGCCAGCGCACCAGCAATGGGGTCGGAGGGGGTGGGGGAAGATGGGCGCCGGGCCCATCGCCCCCGCGCCGCTGGCAGCACCGGGTAATCTGGTACCACGCCCAGCGGAGTCCCCCGGCAGCCCACAGCATAGGCTGGGCTGCGGTGTTGACGATGAAGGCCAGGGCACCCAACACGAACGTGAAGATGCCCAGGGCAAAGCATAGGACCGCGGTCTCCCACCAGTACCCAAGCATCTTAACGCCCAGGCGGTCGACGGCGGATCCAATCCATCCGCCACTCGTGCGGATCGTGCCCGGGTGGTCGGGGGAGCTTACCCACGCTCCATAGCCCACGAACTCGAAGACCCAGGCTGCGAAGCCCCAACCGGGACCCGGCCCCGCCTCCGGGGGCGGGGTAGGTGGCGGCGGCGGCGGTGGGGGTTCGTTCCGGCCAGCCCACCAATGGGGCAGGTGCGGGACCCAACCACTCCACCCCCAATACCCGTCCAGCCCCGCGGCAGGTCAGGCTCACCATCGCCTGTCCGGTTCCCCGGGGCGGACGGCTGCCCAGGCGCGCCCGTGGGCTCGTTGTTACCTCCGTATGCCGGCGTAGCTGGGCTGCCCATGGGCTCGCCCTCGCCTACGCGCCCGATGCCCGCGGCCGTGGTCGTTGTAGTCGACCCTGACCGCGGCGGCGGTGGGACGCCCGGCGTCCCCGGGGGCTTGGCCTGCGGCCCTCGCCCCTTTCCCCCTGCAGGCGCGGGCTTGGCGGGCGGTCCTCGCCCCTTGCCTCGCCCCCCACCGCCTGCCGGCGGCGCTGTCGGCCCGGGCAGGGCTGGCGGCGTCGGCGCTGGGACCTCCTGTCCCCCGCGCCCGAACGGCAGCCAGCCAAGTGCCCCTTGGACCGTAAGAGCGCCGCCCGTAACCAAGATCATCAGGTGCGCCCCCAGGAAGCCCACAGCCATGGCACCACAGGCGCGCTACCTAGTCCGCGGACTAGCACGGCTGTGGTTATGGCCGCCCCGCGGCCCCCTGGAACACCCGCGCGTCGGCCAGAGCCGAACGCTACGGACCCAAAATGGCTACCTGAGCCCACACCCCCTCCCACTTAACCTGCAGTCTACAACCAATCAGACTATACAAGCGGGCAAACGCTTCCGTGGAAACGACATGTCACGCAGCCTCAGTTATGTTCAGTTTGCATATGATAAGATCAATTTAAAACAATCAAAACAATTAGGATCAATTGCGCCGACTGCGACATTTACCGACCCGTACAGATGCGCATTTTGCGACCGAGCAGTGAACTAGTTATAACTCACGCATAATTTTGTTAGCTAAGCGATCCTAAGTCTAACTTATAACGAGAAACATTTCCAGAACCTCCCCGTCGCATCAAGCGCCCCCCATGATCCCGCGTGCGAAAACCGCCGCCAAGTTCAATGCGCTCGGCCGCGACGCAACGCGCCGCCAAGTCCGCCACCATGGCGTGCGTCAGCGGCGGTGACGAGGAGGCCAGCGCGCCCGTCTCCGACAGGGCCTCCCCCTCCGCCCACGTGAGCTCGCCTAAGATCGCCACGATGACCGCTTCGTGGGATGCCGGGAAGAGGACCATGCGCGATCTTAAAGTCTCGCTGCACGACCTCATTCGGGAGCGATCGGCGCTGCTTACCTCCCCCCGCCAAAGTCACGTGCGCGACGTGCGAGCCCAGGGCGGAGCGCCCCAGTCGCATCGCCACGGCTGTCAGGCGCGAGGGGACCGCCGCAGATGAAACGTAAGTCTTTAGTCCCACCAGCCGCCAGCAGCGCCCCCATGACCTTGCAGCAAAAAACAATACGCAGATGCGAATCGATCGGACCGCCCGCCAGAAGCCGCCCATCTCGGCACAGGCCGCCTCCGCCGCCCAGACGCGAGCAGCCTCCTCGGGGAACTTAGCGCCTCGATGGTGCAGCTGAGCTTCGAGACGCCGCGCCACGGGAACCCGCTGCCCGCGAACGAGAACGGCGCCCGAAGAAGCGGCGCAAGTTCACGATGGATCCCCGGCCGCGAAGCGAGAGCAAGGTCATCAGCTTGCCGAGGTTCTGCGATAAGCTGTGGCTCCCGAGAGCCACGTCGAGGTGCTCGTCCGAGATGTGCGCGTTGGCGGTCACCTGCTTCGCGCTCATGCCGGCGAAGCGCTTGGCTCAACGTCCGTGAACTTCAGCAGTCTCAGGTCGACGTGTGCCCCCGTTACGGGGTGGGTCGCCATCAGGTGCGTCGCTCCCGGAAGGAGCAATTTGTGGCCCGCCCACTCGTCGACCAGAGACCCGAAGCCTTCCATGAACTCCGCAGGCCCGATGGAATCCCCAATCAGCGTGCCATGGCCCACCCAACCTTTCAAGACCCCATCGGCAGAGGCGTTCCGCCGCCGCGTCCAGGGCCTCCTGCAACGTGCACTGGAATGCCTTCGAGAGGTCCTTGAAGGAGCTGAGAAAGCAGAAACCCGCCAGGACTAAGCGCCATTGGGTCGCGTGCATCACCGCCAAAGCCGCCTCCCTGGACCTCCTGCGCAAGGAAACGTGCTCGCGCGCAGGCTGGCAATCGCAGGGGCCATGTCGCAGCAACGAGCTGAAGTAACATTTTCCGACGGGGCACATGACATGGATGATGCGCCCGACCTCCACCGCCAAGCTGCTCGACCAGACCAGGGGGGGCCGCCGCGAAAAACCGTGCGAGTGCCAGAACAGCCTCCACAGCCTCGCGGGTGCGGGTGGTTCGTGCACGAGTCCGACGCCGCCCCTCGGCTGCCGCGCGAGCTGCCCAGGCGCCAGGAGCATGCGCCAGGCGGTCACTGGGGCCGACCGCGAAGGATAGGCTCGCCGCAGCGGCGCACGCAGCAGGACCGCCTCCAGCCGCGCCATGCCCTTGACAGCCACCGCCTGCGCCTCGTCCCAGGGGATCACCGGCGCAATCGGAGCAGGACAAGGAGGAGGAGCAGGAAACGTGGAAGGAGGAGCAGGAGGAGGAAATGTTGTCTGTGCGGTGGGCCTGCTGCGCGCTGGCAGGCGCGCGGGGAGAACGGGCCGGCGAGGGGGGTGCGCTCCGCGGAGCGGCGCCAGGGTGCCGCCGCTGTCCTCGCCGCTCCCCGCGCGAAGGGGGGGGGGGCGGCGAGGGAGCGGCCCTGCCGCACGGGCCCACGCGCCGCGGGGGCTTCCCGTCGCCGACCCGGCGAGGAGGGCCCCTCCTGCGGGAGAGAGGGCGAGAGGGCGAGAGAGAGAGAGAGAATCCAGGAGGAGGAGGGGGGGGCGGGCGAGAGGCTGAGGACGGGGGGCCGCGGGGGAGGAAGTGAAGACCGCGCGCCGCGCCGCTCGCCTCGCGCGGCGCGCTTTGCGCGTCGGCCCGCGGCAACGGCCGCGGCGCGCGGCGCGCGGTGCGCTTTGCGGCCCTGCACGGGCCAGCGGCGGAGGCGGAGCACGGGCGCGCTCGCTCGGCCGAGGCCGACTTACCCCTGGGGTGGAGCGGGCGGGCACGCGGGGGCCCTGGGCGCCCCCGGGGAGAGCGGGCAACGAGGGGTACGGCGACCCAGGTCTCCGACTCTGGAAGGGTTTCGACTGGACCAAGCATGTTGGGCCCAACTCTGGGATGCACCATTGGGGGACGTCCATCCTCGATGGAGGTGCGTCCCAATAGCCCCCTGAAGGTGTATCCCCGACCCTCCCCTCGTTCCTGAGCGACCCGCCCTGTTCGGGGGCAACTCGGGGACCGGGAGCGAAACATCGCCTGCGAGAAGAGGCGGCGGGCTCGGGGAAGAGGCGCGGAGGAGGCGAGGAGGCGAGGCAGCGGCAGCGAGGGTGCGTGCGCACACCAGGCGGGGGGAGCGGGCTCGGCATATGGCGCGTCCCAAGGCGCAACCTACCAGCTCACTGCGAGTACACGCGTGTCGGCACGTAGGAGGAAGGGGAGGACTAGGAAGAGGAAGAGACGGAGGAAGAAGAGGAAGAGGACAACGACGGCTGCGGCGAGGCGCAGGGACAAATCCAGAGAGAGCGAGGAAAGGACGCGGATGACCCGGGGGCAGCGACAGCTGCAGGGGAGAGGGCTGCGAGAGCGAGAGGGGGTGGAGGAGCGAGCGTGGGAAGATATTTTGGGACACGTTCCCATTCCACTGGGTGCTGCTCTGGCCCGACATCATCCTCACATGGATACCTCCCTCGTCATCGCAAGCATCCGCAAAGACATCATACCTATGTCGAATATCAACAGCTCATGTACACCATCACCAGCTCAACCATCGCGCCTCCTAACAGAAAGCAGCACAGGAAGCAGCCGGGAAGGGCACGGTGAGAGCGGAGATCGCAGAGGGGGGAATGAACTGCTTAGGGAGTGCATTGTGCTCCTGCGCGAGGTGCTGGAAGACATGCCTCCATAGTCTCACGATCGTGACCCGCAGGAAGAGCGAGCCTCTGCCAGCGGACAGTGTCAACGGAGAGCGCGGGGAGGCCACTCTCTAACTCTCTCTTGTCTCTCTCGCTCTCTCTCTCTCTTTCCTTATTTCTTTATTTGTTTCTGCTTATATTTCTCTCTCTCTCTCTCCTTCTCTCTTTCTTTATCTCGCTCTCTCTCTCTCTCTTTCTCTCTCTCTCTCGTCTGTGCATGTTCCCGCTCACCCTCTCCCTCTCTGCCTTCCCATCTCCCCCTCTCTGACTACGCGAGCCCGAGGTGTGCGATAGACCGACAATGACCACCCCTCCTGTTTCCCCTCCCCCTGCCGTTCTCCTCCTCCTCCTCCTCATTCTCCTCCTCTTCCCTGCTCCTCTTCCCTCCTCCCTCCCCCTTCCCCTCCCTCGCTCAGGAAAGGCGTTCTCGCCCGCGACTCGCAGTCCACTTGGGTTGGTGAAGCCGCTCGATACTTCATCGCAAGTTCCACCGAGACACACTGGCCAAATGCGTTCTCAGATTCAGGAATGGCGCTCTCGTCCGAAACTGCCTCGCGATATACTTGGGACGGTGAGTACCAAATTCCGAATGGTAGCGCTGGTGTTGTTGGGACGGCGGCTTTGGGCGGCGAAGAGGAGCAATTGAGTAAAAAAGAGAGGAAGGCTCGAGCGGGAGCGTTGTTGTTGCTGGGGGCGACGCCGATGAGAAGAAGAGGGGCGCGCCAGTCCAAGGTAAAACGGGAAAAAGTCCCGAGCGGTAGCGCTGGTTTTGTTGGGACGGCGGCTTTCGGCGGCGAGGAGGAGCACCGGCCGAATAAAAAAAGGAAAGTCTCAAGCGGGAGCGTTGTTGTTGTTTGGGGGCCAGTTCTGGCGCCCCCCCAGACCGTTCGAGCGTGAGCTTAATTTTCATTGAAAATGTAGCCGGCGCCGAGGCGAGAGCGCCAAGGCGCCTGGGGGGTCCAACAATAATCATTGTTTAATAATTAACACTCAACAGCAAGCATCTTGAGACTGTTCGTTCCTATCTGCTCGCGTGCCGCTCAACACGTATATCCCGAACCCTCGATGACAGCCCTCTTCGTCCTCGACCGTACCCTATTGGGGGTCTATCTATCTTTCTTGCAACGTGTATTTCGCGCAGCCCCTGAGGTAGGGGAAGAGAGGACAGATGGAAGGACGAGGGAGAGGAAGGAGGATGGAGCACGGGCTAGAAGCAGAAAACACGTGGCAGAATCAGACAGGCAGACCAGGCGGGTAGACCCTACCAGGCGGGTCGGGAAGGAGGGCCCAGGCGACGAGGTCGAGCAGGCGGGTTGCTCAAGCGTGCGTCCTGCATGAATCCCGAGGAAGTCTCGAACGACAGCTCGAATCCCAAATCAATCGTGAGAAAATCCACAGCGAGAGCGTGACTCCTGAATGTCGAGGGCGCGGCGTCTGAATGAATTGCGAGGGAGTCCCACGCGAGAGCTCGATTCCTGAATAGATTTTGAGGAAGTCCCGCGCGAGAGCGCGATTTGGGAATACATTGTAAACAAATGCAACGCGTGAGCCGTTGTTGTTGTAGTTCGGGGGTCAACAACGCAGTTTGAGCCGAGTGACTTTCCCTGATAAAAAAAGTGCGAGCCCCGGGGGAGCACTTCAATTAAAAACACAAGGGTCACCAGAGGGGGGATCAACAATAACAATTCCTCAGTAATGGGAGTTCAACAACAATGACGACGACGACAGCGACAACAACAACAATCATGTTAAGACTGTTCGCTCCTATCTGCCCACGTGTCAATCAATACGTATATCCCGAACCATCGGTACCCGCCCTCGTCGTCTTCGATCGTACCCCCTTGGGGGTAGATCTTCATTACCTGCCACGTGCATTTAGTGCAGTCCCTAAAACAAGCAAAGAGAGGACGGTTGAAAGGGGGAGGGTGAAGAATGGAACACGAGAGAAATTAGCAGGAGGGGGGCAAGGAGCAGGAAACAAGTGGTAAAACAAGACGGGTAGATCGGGTGGGCAGACCCATTGTGGGCGGGTCGGGAAGGCGGGCCCAGGCGACGAGGTCGAGCAGGCGGGTTGCTGAAGCGTGGGTCCTGCATGAGTCCAGAGGAAGTCTCGAGCGATAGCGCGATTCCCAAGTAATTGGCAAGACAAACCAAAGCGAGAGCGTGATTCCTGAGCGCCGAAAGCGCATCGTCTGAATCAATTGCGAGGGAGTCCCACGCGAGAGCGCGATGCGTACATGAATTGTGAGGAAGTCCCGCGCGATATCGCGATTTGGGAATAAATTGTGAAGGGATATGAGGCGGGAACCGTCGAATACTCATTTCTAAAGAATAATCATTGCTAATATCCGGTAACGGTTCCGCGCGCTCTCGCCTCGACGCCGGCTACATTATCTCTGAAAACGAGGCTCCCGCTCGAGCGTTGGCTTGAGCAGAAATGTGGACCCTTAGAGGCCCAACTGCGACGACAACGGCTCCCGCTTGATACTTCATCACAACTTACCCCGAGACACCCTGGCCAGAGGCCCTCGAGATTTCCTCGCAATTCAATTAAGCTGGCCGAGGCCCAGCCACGACCACAAGGGCTCCTGCTCGATACCTCCTCACGATTTACTCCGAGAGCACCTGGCCAAGAAGGCCCCCGAACTCAAGAACGGCGCTCTCGCTCGAGACTTTCCCGTAAATCAAGCAAGTTGGTGGAGGCCCGGACATGGCAACAAGGGCTCTCGTTCGATGTTCCTCCACAGGTATTCCGAGAGCCCCTGGCCAGAGAGGCCCCCGAGACTTCTTCGCACTTCAGTCAGTGGCAAGCAAGGAAGAGATTCCCCCGAAAGGGAGTGCAATCGAAGACGAACTGGGCGGGTATCGAGGGTTGGGGTATACGGAATGCAAGACACGCGTGCCAGTAAGAGCGAACAGTTTCAAATTATTGTTATTGTGTTTGCTGTTGCTGTAAAGCACGAAACAATGGCCCAGTTTGAGCCCCGTGACTTTCACTGATACAAAACCAAGTGCGAGCACCAGGGGGGAAGCACGGTCACCGGAGGGGGGCTCAACAATAATTGTTCTTCAGCACTGAGAGCTCAACCAGAAGATCAACAACACCAACAACAACAACCATACCAACAACAACGACAACCACAACCCTAACCACAACAGCAAAAACAACAATCATCATTTTAAGACTGTTCGCTCCTATCTGCTCACGTGCCAACCAATACGTATATCCCAAGCCCTCGGTACCCGCCCTCGTCGTCTTCGATCGTACCCCCTTGGGAGCATATTTTCCTTACCCGCCAGGTGTATTTAGCGCAGCCCCTAAAAAAAGGGAAGAGAAGACGGGTGGAAGGGAACAGAGAAGAGTGGAGCACGAGAGGAATTCGGAGGAGGGGGGCAAGGAGCAGGAAACTAGTGATAGAACCAGACGGGCAGATCGGGTAGGCAAGCGAGCAGGTCGGGAAGGCGGGCCCAGGCGACGAGGTCGAGCAGGCGGGTTGCTGAAGCGTGGGTCCTGCATGAACCGCGAGGAAGTCTCGAGCGATAGCGCGATTCCCAAGTAACTCGTGAGAAAAAACAGCGTAGGCCACGAAGGGCATAACATCCGAGGCCACAGAGGGCAGCGACGGGGCCGCTGAGGGCAACACCGGGGCCACGAAGGGCAGCGAGGGGGCAACAAAGGGCGACAGCAAGGCCACGAAGGGCATGCATATGGGGCCACGACGGGAGCGAGCGAGCGGGGGCCACGAAGGGCATTCGTATGCGGGGCCGCAAGGGGCGACAGCGGAGCCACTCAGGGCAGCAAAGGGGCCACGAAGGGCAGCGAGGGGGGGGCGACAGCGGGGCTACGATGGGCACGCGTATGGGGCCACGACGGGCGCGTGCGAGCGGGGGCCACGAAGGGTATATAATGCAGGGCCACAGAGGGCAACGACGGTGCCACTGATGGCAATAACGGGGCCACGAAGGGCAGCGAGCGAAGGCGACCGCAGAACCAGTACGGGCAGCGAGAAGCATCGAAGGCGGGCGAAAGGCAGCGAGCGGCGACTGCAGTCATTAACGGGCTGGTCGGGCGGGCAGGTCCCGACGGGCGGGTCGAGCGGGCGAGTCGTTGAAGCGTGAGTCCTGCTTGAACCGCCAGGCAATATGTAGCGGGTGCGCGATTCCTGAGTGTGTAGGACCGGCATCTGAATAAAGTGTGAGGACATATGAAGCGAAGCGGTTCGATTGTAAGTTGCGAGGAAGTCTTAAGCGAGAACGCGATTCTGCAATACATTGTCAGGAAGTATCAGGCGGGAGCCGCGGTTCGGTGGCAAATTGCCAGGATGTCCCAAGCGAGAGCGCGATCCTTCAATAAATTGTGTGGAAATATCAGGCGGGAGCCGTTGTTGTTGTAAACCAGGGGCCAACGACACAGTTTGACCCTCAAGCCCTTCCCTGATACAAAAAACAGGGTGCGAGCCCTGGGAGGGGCACTTCAATCGAAAAAATACAATGTGCACCAGGCGGGGGGGATCAACAATAATCATTCTTTAGAAGTGAGAGTTCAACGTCTCAAACTCTATACGTCTTCGCATTTTTTTCGGAGACGCCATGGCATGTCGTCCTCTCGCTCAGGCATGGCACCCGAGGCGCTGAAGCAGCCCACAGAAGGTCATCTCAAATGTCCTCGTGCCTGTGGCGTAAAACTCTTCGGGGCTCGTGCCCTATAGCGATAATCCCCCCGGGGCTCGTCCTACATTAGCTGGAAACGTTGAACCTTCTGGGGCTCGTGCTTGCAGTCGCAGAACCCTAAGGGGCTCGAGCCGCACATTCCCTTGGGGGGGGCCATCATTGTATGTACTTACGTTGTGTTTTCTTGGAGCAGAGCACTACTCCGGTTTCCCATCATTCCATTTTCTGGTCGCAGTCGCGGGACCGACATAGCATCGTGGCGCAGAAGCCTGGGGACCAGGGCTCATGCCAGTGAAGTTGAACCGTCTGGGTTCGTATTGTATTCGCTGGGAGCGCTGAAGCATCTGGGGCTCGTGCTTCCAGTCGCCCAGCGCAGAACCCTCCACTGTCTTCGCTCTCACGGTTGACAGAAGTGCAGGGTTGCAGAGGTCGACGTCCTGCACACTGTGTCTGCAGAGTTGCTCGCATGAGGGCCATGGCAGCGTGGTGCACACACAGGGCGCAATGCTGAGTACTTGTCGTTGCACCAGAGGCTACCACGACGGAAACGCAACCACACACATCAGAGGGGTGGTGGTGCACATACTTGGAGGACGGGTGCAAGGACACAAAGAAAGGCCAGGCCATCTCCTCAGATCACATGTTCGTAAGATGGTCGACGCCGTCGTTCTCGTGGCCGTCGCCGTCGCCGCCACCCCTGCCACCGCAACCCTGGCGGTCGCTGGCGGCCTGCGTGGAACTCGGCCAGCCCGGCTGATGCGAAGGCGCCGAGCTCGGCCGACTCGGGCGGCTCCAGGTCGCCCTCGTCGTCCACCTCTCGGACGGACGGGGCACGGCATGCACTCCAACAACATATTCCAATTTGCCGCCAGCCGATCCCAAATCCGAACTGGTCGGACTGCATCAGTGGACCGCGACCGCGACCCCGACCGGAGCCATGATGCCTCCAGGAGGAGGTAGGGGGGAGAGAGCCAGAGACGGAGACGTAGGACGACAACCACAGGCGGCGACGACAACGACACTGACGAATACACAGGCGACAGACGACATACGGGGCAACCAGAAGGTAACCAGACCGCTGCTTCCTTGCGACGAAGATGACGCCGACGAGGACCAGGCAGACGACGACGACGCCGGCGACGGTGGCGTAGAGGCCCCACGTTGGCAGGATCAATCAACATCAAATCGGTAAAATCGTATCGAATCGAAAGATCGGGCTGCATCGGCCTGGACTCGAGATCGAAGCGGATCGGCTGCGCCAGGATGCACGACAGCGCCATGCAAGCATCGGGCTGCATCGGATCGTCGCAGTTTTTCGAATCGAATCGGATCGGGCCGGCAGGAATCGGCATTGAATCGCATCGGTCGGGTCGAGACGGACCCTGCGTTGGCCGCCTCCCGGCGGCACTGCTGCAAGGTGGCTGCCCACAGGTCCAGCGCGCCCCCCAGCAACTCCTCGGCCGGGCTCTGGCCCTTGCCGCGGTGGCGCACGGGCATGGCCTCGCCTGGCTCGCGCTCCTCCGCCTCGACTTCCGCCTGCAGCTCGTCGACCCTCTGGCTCGCTGCCTCGTAGAGCTTCGCTACGTCCTTCGAAGAAGCGAAAGCGGCAGGAAAATATACGAGGTAAGGGTGCAACAAGACCCTTGGAAGACCCATTCAGAATTTAGAACTTCTTAGGACATCAACATTGGTTCAGGATGGGGCGAAAAAGCAGGGATGCAAGGGTAGCCTTGATGAAACATCACGTCCTTACTCTGGCTTTTGACTGTAAGCTTTCGGAACTCCGCGCGGATTTCCTACATTGGTGCTGGACCCTCCTCCCTGGCGCGCAGAGAGCGCCAGGGGCACAAAGGCGCCGCCAGGGGGTCCCCAGCGCAATCCCAAGAAATCTGCGCGGAGCTCCGAAAGTTACTAGTAATGTTTATGCCATGGTTTCTTCCTCGAGTCCTCCAGCGGCCCCCAGAGGCGCACCGCGGACGTGACCTGCATCAGCGCCTTGACGGCCACGGCACGGTCCGACAGGGAACCCTTGGAGCAAAAGCCCTTGATGACCGGGAGGCCCACAGCCACGTCGTCGACATCGCTCCCAGCCTCGACGCACGCGGCTGATAGTCGTCGTCCTCTTCCTCGGCCTCGTCCTCAGCGTCGGTTGTCGTACTCGTCGTCCTCGTCCTCGTTGTCATCGTTGTCATCGTCGTCGTCGTTGTCGTCATCGTCGTCCTTGTCGTCCTCGTCGTCGTCGGCGTCGTCGTCGTCGGCGGCGGCAGCGACGGCGGCGGCTGCGGCGTCGTCGTCGTCGTCCTCCTCCTCCTAGTCGTCCTCGTCGTCATCGTCGTCATCGTCGCCGTCGTCGGCGACGTTGCTCCCAGCCTCGCCGCGCTCGCGACGGTGCATCAACGAAACAAGGTCCGCGAGCGCCCGCACCAGTTCCCCGGAACCGTCGAAGACGGGCAAAGATCCCACCGCGGCCAAGACGGCGCCGTGCAGCCCAGCGACCGGGGCACTCTCGACCTTAGATTTGCTGTTGCAACCAAACAACGCCGCAGAACCAATTGCTTATCAGGGAAAGGGTGCCGACCGGTCGTGCACTGTCCCGGGGTGCGAGGCTAAAGTGGATTTCCGCGGTGCGGATTGTTGTGTTTGTTGTTGTTGTTGTGGATATTGTTGTTGTTGTGATTGTTGTTGTTGTTGTTGTTGTTGTTGTGATTGTTGTTGTGATTGCTGTTGTTGTTGTTGTTGTGGATATTGTTGTGTTTGTTGTTGTTGTTGTTGTGGTTGTTGTTGTTGTTGTTGTTGTGATTGTTGTTACTGGCGCTGTTGAGTTGTTGTTGGTGGTGCTGATGATGTTGGTTGTGCTTGTTGTTGGTGTAGCCGTTGCTGTTGTTGTTGCTGCTGCTGTTGTTGGTGTTGTGTTGTTGTTGGTGTTTCTGGTGTTGTTGTAGTTGTTGGTGTTGATTATTTTGTTGTGATTCGTACTGTTGAACTCTCACTCCTGAAAGAGAATTATTGTTGATCCCCCCCCGCCCGGTGCACTTCGTGTTTGTTGGAAGTGCCCCTACTGGGGCTCGCACCCTATTTTTATTAGAAAATGATCGCCCCCAATTTACAACAACAAGTGCTCCCGCTTTAGAACTCATCACAACGTATTGAAGAATCGCGTTCTCGCCTGAGACTTCCTGGCAGCTTACCGCTGACTCGCGGTTCCCGCTTGATACTTCCTACCATTTACTGAAAAATCGCGCTGTCGCTTTGGACTTCCCGGCAATTAACCACCGAATCGCAGTTCCCGCCTGATATTTCCTGACAGTGTATTGCAGAATCGCGTTCTGGCGTGGGACTCCTTTGTAATTTACCACCGAACAATTTCGCTGCACATTTCCAAACAATGTATTCAAATGTCGGTCATCGACACTCAGGAATCGCGCTCCCGCTGCATATTGCCTGGAGGTTCAAGCAAGACTCACACGTCCGGTCGACCCAACCGTCGGGGCCTGCCCGCCCGACCAGCCCGTTAATGACTGCAGTCGCCGCTCGCTGCCCTTCGCCTGCCTTCGGTGCCCCTCGCTGCCCGTACTGGTTCCGCGGTCGCCTTCGCTCGCTGCCCTCCGTGGCCCCGTTGCTGCCCTCAGTGGCCCCGCTGTCGCCATTTGTGGCCCCGCATTATATACCCTTCGTGGCCCCTGCTCGCACGCGCCCGTCGTGGCCCCATACGCGTGCCCATCGTAGCCCCGCTGTCGCCCTTCGTGGCCCATCGCTGCCCTTCGTGGCCCCCTTTGCTGCCCTCAGTGGCCCCGCTGTCGCCGTTTGTGGCCCGTACACGAATGCCCTTCGTGGCCCCCGGTCGCTCGCGCCCGTCGTGGCCCCATATGCATGCCCGTCGTGGCCCCGCTGTCGCCTTTTTGTGGCCCCCCCGCTGCCCTTCGTGGCCCCTGTGCTGCCCTCAGCGTTCCCGTCGCGGCCCTGTGGCCTCGGATGTCATGCCCTTCGTGGCCCACGCTGGCTTTTCTCACGAGTTAGACTTCCTCGCGATTCATGCAGGACCCACGTTTCAGCAACCCGCCTGCTCGACCTCGTCGCCTGGGCCCGCCTCCCCGAACTGCCCGCCATGGGTCTGCCCACCCGATCTGCCCGTCTGGCTCTACCATTTGTTTTCTGCTCCTTGCCCCCCTCCTGCTAATTAGTCTCGCGCTCCATTATTTTCCCTCCCTCTTCCAGCCGTCTTCTCTTCCCTTGTTTTAGGGGTTGCACTCGGAACGCGTGGCTGGTAAGGACACGATTCACGACGACGAGGGCGGGTACCGAGGGCTTGGGATATACGTATTGATTGGCACGTGAGAAAATCGGAACGGACAATATTAGACTGATTGTTGTTGTTGGTGTTGTTGTGGTTGTGGTTGTGCGTTGTTTGGTGTTGTTTACAACTTGTTTGTGTTGTGTTGTTGATTGTTTATGTTTGGTGTGTTGTTTGTTGTCGTCGTCCGGCCCGAAACCGGGCCCGCGACTCACCCGCGACCTTCCCGCGACCCACCAGCGACCCACCCGCGACCCACCCGCGACCCACCCAAGACCCACCCAAGACCCACGCCTCGACCCACGCCGCGACCCACCCGCGACCCACCTGCGACCCACCAGCGACCAACGCCGCGAACCACCCGCGACACGCCTGCGACCCAATCGCGAAAAACCGCGCGACCCGCCCGCGACCCACCCGCGACCCGCCCGCCCGCGACCCACCCGCGACCCACCCGCGACCCACCCGCAACCCACTTGCGAATACTGCGCCCCTCGCCCCCGCGTCCACTACAGGCTGGAGAGCACCGCTGACGCCCTCTAATTACCATGGCGCATCGCTCATTGGCAACGGCGGCGCGCGCTCGCTCCCGGACCTGCTCGACGTTGCTCTCGGGTGCCCGCGCGGCGAAATCGTCCATCCAAAACGGGGCGCCGTCTGGGCTCGCGACCTCCACGGCGCGCGCGAGGCGGCATTCCAGACGCCCCACTCGGGCAGCCTGGTCTGCGCCCACTCCTCCCCGATGCGGACGCGCTGGAAGGCTCGGCGCTCTCCTGTACGAGCGCGGGCGAGTTCCACGTGCTGCCCTCGATCCACGACCCACTACCCACTACCGCCTATACGGCTTCGGTCGAGTCACTGGCGCCCCTGGCGCGGGCGACATTCAGCTCGCTCGCGAGAGCGCCCGGCGGCGACGGGAGCTCCATGCGCGATGCGATGACAGTGGCGTTTCCAGCGAGCGCGGCCTCCTGCGCCGCGGGGTCGCTTTGCCTGCTGAGCCGGACATGCCGCAGGCAGCGGCGTCCCAGCGACGCGAGCGTCTTCGCAGCTCGGGGCGCAGCGCTCGCGCAAGGGCGCCCCCTTCCGATCCAGCTGTCGCCGGCGCGCACCTGCGCCAGCTCTGCAAAGCTCCTGCCAACCCCCTCAGAGCCCCCCCCCGTCTTGTCCACAAGGCCGCGATCGAAGCAAACGGCCGGCACTGCAGCCTTCGCGGCGTCGGAGACCTGGAAGTGCTTGGCGGCCGAGCGGGTCAGCGACGCCGACCTGTGACCGGAGGGGTGCCTGAAGAGCGCCCGACTGACTCGCGCGCCGGCGCCATTGACCACCATCTCGTTCCTCTGCAGGTCGATGCTATAGCATGATCGGGGCTATAGCCCCGATCATCTCCAGAAACTTCGCCGGGAGAGTGGGGGGCAATGCCTCTCGATAGTCATAAATTCAATGAATCCGCAACCTGCCGGCGCGCGCGCCCTGCCTATTGGATGAGCCCCCCCGCCGATCCCGGACGCAGCCATGCCGGCGATCGGCGGCCAATCTTCATGCGCATGAGAACCTCTGTCGCGGAAAGCTCTCTGGAGGCTGACGAGGTCGATCTTGCCTATCAGCGCCTGCCCGGCCGCGGTATCGACTGCTCCGTGATTCTAGATGTTCGAGAGACTCAATGACGGTCACTCCTTCTCGTGCCGAATTACCTACCCACTGGTCCAAAGAGCCGTGCGAGTCGATCTCCGGGAACTCCCCCCCGTCAGCTCTCTCGTCGTACAGAAGAAAAGGGTCGTCGCCGTCGCTCGCGAATGTGCTACTGTTCCATAAAGTCGAAGATCCCTTCGTGGCAGTCGAACTGTGGCGCCCTCAGCGAAGCGATCTGACTTGGCCTTGCACGGCTGACGGCAATTTTCGGCCCAGCGGCCACGGTCTCCACACTTCGCACATCTCGTCTGTTCCTTCAAGTCCGCCGAGGTGGTCCTACGATGGCCTGATCGGGACGCTTTCTTCGTGTCAAAGAAGCCACGATCGACGCGCATGGCAGCCTTTTTGTTGTCGAACCTCCGCCCACGTCCTCCTTTTCTCTTCGCCGGCCTTCTCCTCAATAGTAGCAGCCAGCACTGGCATCAGGTCGTTCTCGCCCAAGTCCTGCTCGTCGAGAACCTCCAAGAATACCGCTGCATCCTCCTCTGGCAGCCCGAAGAAATCGTCAGGGTCGGCCTCGAACGAGGTTTGGGGATCTGGTGGCGCGGGTACTCCCAGGTCAACGTCCTCTCGGATCTGGTCGTCGTTCTTTTCTTTCAGGTAGCTCTTGGAATCTGCCTGTCCAGGTGCAGCGCCGGATCCGAGAAACGTGCCACGCTCCCGAACGTCGAGCAGTAGAAGGCCTTGACGGATGGAAGCAAAGCCCCCCTTCCCGCTCACGAGCGCCCTCAGGCTGATCTTGTTTTGAGCGACAAATTGGCTTCCTCCTCGAGATATCTAGCCTTGATCACGTCGGGCATCTGGAGCGTGTAGGTCTCGGCCTCACTCACATGAGCGTCCCTGCGCAGCACGTAGTCAGTGAGAGCTTCGCCTCGGCGAATCGCAAGTGCCATATATTGCGCGTCGCGCTCTTGATCTCCGGGACACTCGCCGTTCAGAACCGACAAATGACCAAGCATTTTTTGAATACCGTAGTCGTCATCATGAGAATGAACTCCGAACCATTGTAAACTTCCTCTGTTTGTCTACGGAAAGTGTCTCTAGAACCTTGCCCGCTTTCACTCCTTTAGCGTAGCCCGCCCTCGAAAACCACGCTTTCAGATTGGAACGGGATAGATATATACAGATGCTCAAATCCAAGCCAGACTGGGGGAGCCCCGAGGTCCTTATTCACTGTGGCCCGTCGATCGCCCCCGACCACCACCCTTGCTGGTCCATCCAATCGGCCAGCGCGGGACTAGAATACCAATCTGCGTCTTGCCCTACTCGGTCGCCCTATCCTGACCAGACCCATCCTCGCCAGTCTTGGCTGGGTGCTGTCGTCTGGCGGGAGCGGTCCTCCTGATCTCGCTGTAGCAGTCTCGCTTCTAGATCCGCAATTCTCTGCTCCAGCTCTTCTCGTGTTCTGGGTTGCTCTGGACAGGGCGTGCCCGAGGATAGGTCCCCCATCGGCCCCTCAACCTCCGCTCCGCTTACCATTGTCCCAAACTCTGTCGAGGCAGAACTCCGAAAAGGAACGGGTCTGGAAAGGGCGAGCGGGGGACACTTTCTCTAGACACAATCACGTCACTAATCTGACTACCTACCAGACCACCCCAACCCAACCCGAAGACCCGAATTTCGGGATTGGGGGGATATGGGCTCCATATGTTTTTTTCTATGTTCCCGGACCCCCCCACACCGGAAATGGAGGGCAAATTGAAGCCTTCGGGATGGATTGGGGTGGTTTGGTGGGTGCTGATAAGCCAAAAGGTTGCGGGCACGAACACACGGGTTGAAGCACGACGCAGGAGAAACGGGCAACGGGAGCGGAAGGGAGAGAAGATCCCTGGAGGTCCCCGGGGCCCCTAGGACGAGGGTCATAAGGGCAAAGTGGGACAAAACGGCCGTTCTAACATCCGCCAGTAGCAGGATGAATGCTCTGAAAGACCACCCTGCGGTGCTGAATTGCAAAAGCATGTCAAGCGAAAAGGCTGCTCCGGCATCCGCAAGTAGCGGCAGGACTACTCTGAAGGACCTCCCTGTGGTGCTGAATTGAGAATATGACGTTCGGGCCCCCTGTGCCCAGGGCCTCTCCGAGTAAGCTGTGGGGACGTATCGCACGGGAGCGTTGTTCTGACTTGGGGGCCGGTTCGGGCGCAACCCCGAAACGAAATACAGCCGGCGCCGCCGAGGTCCAACAATAATCATTGCTTCATACTGGCATTCAACAACATCCCCACCTAACAACTAAGCTATCGACCCATTTTCGCCGCGGCTGTATCTTCTCCAGCTGCGTGCAGAGCGCAGAAACAGCTTTGGCCATGTTCACCTTCTCCGCCCGCGAGACGCTGTCCTCGAACGCGGTGGAGAGCTCCGCACAAATCTCCTTGTGGTACCTCTCCACACCGCTGGCGGTCGTCGGGCAAATCTCGTTCCATAGTGCCTCCCAGCCAGTCTGCACCTCCTTCTCGCCAGACCAACGGAGGCCGAACGCCTTGGCCGCGACGGCGGCCCTCAGCTCACTCTCCAGAGTCTCGTCGCTGCACCGCCGCCAGACCTCCCACAGGGCGCGCGACAGCGACACGCGGTAGGCGCTGCGGGCCGCGTCGTCCGTGCGGTAGTCCTGGTCCTTTTGCAGCAGCCGCTCGAACACCACCTTCGTCAGCTCCTGCGGCGAGTTCCGCCGCGCCAGGCTGGCGAAGCACGAGGCGGCGGCGTCGCGTACCTCCTGCGGGGGGGAACCAAACAGGTGCCGATCCCCGCACTCCACGGACCTCTCCCCGGTGCGTTCTGAAAAGAATTTCAAGGCGAGTCCAGCCGTGGCGACGAGGGCCTCCCTGGAAGCAGACCAGAGCGAACAAGAGGGCAGGATCGCGGCATCGGTACCCTTTCCCCCTCGGTGCCCTTCGGTTTTCGGGTCATCACTCGGCTCTCCGGCGGCCGTTCGGGACGATCCAGGCATCCGCGGAACGCTCTCGGCGAGGCGCAGCGCGGGGAAGCATCGCGAGGCAGGAAAGCCGTCGGCAACCGACGAAGACGCCAGACAAAACTCGTCTCTCCGATGTAGCGCCATCGGCGCCCTTTCCTCCTCGAGTCCTTGGACCCGTCCAGCATCGCGCCCGCCACCGAGCGCAGCATGCTGGTGGCCACGGCGCCGCTCTCGGGCACGGCGCTCGGGCGCTCCGCGCAGACGGCGACCCAGAAGTCGCACGCGCCCACGCGGGTGTTGGCGCCCACGCCGCGGTGCATCGAGTCGCGGGTTCTGGGGGCGAGGCGCTCGGCGTTCTCCGCCGTGATGGTCGAAGGACAGAAAGAACTCCATAAGCATAAACGTTCGGAGCTCCGCGCGGACTTCCTGGATCGAAGCTGGACACCCCTTGCGCCAGGGGGGTCCAGCGCAGATCCAGGAAATCCGTTAGGAGCTGCGAGCGTTTATGCTGATGTCAGTGTTCCAACCTCGAGATGAGGGGCACCAGCTGTCTCAGCAGCTTCATAGACTCACTGTCGCGCGAAGCAGACACACGGGCTGCCGCCAGCTCCTTGCCCTTTTCCTCGTTCGCTTTGTCGATGTGCATCTGGTAGTATTGGAACTGGTCGTTCTCCATCATGGACAGAGAGATGAGCAGCGGCGGGATCAGGTCCTGCACGTACGGGGACATGAGCACGGTGCCGTGCGCAGACTTGACCATCTCCCGCATGATGTCGAAGCATAAAGGAGTTGCGTGCTTGTACCTCTCGCAGAACTGGAGCAGCAGGGGGATTGTGAGCTTGAGGGCGTCGTCCACCTCGCTAGCCTTGCCCGCCTTGGGATCGACCAGTCGCAGAATGAGGTTGCGGGTCATGCGGACCAGCGGCTTCACGACGGCCTGGATCTTCGTCTCCATGTCATCCATGAGCTTGACGACGATGGTGAAAAAGTCCTCCAAAAGGAAGGCGACCTCGTCCCAAGTCCTGCCTCTGAAGAGCACCTGGGCCGCCTGGACCGCCGCCTCGCGCGTGGAGACGCGGGAGGTGCCCAGGGCCGAGATCAGATTCGTGGCCAGCGCACGCCACTCGTCCTGGTTGGAGGCGGCCGCGAGGTCTGAACTGGGAAGGACCCCAGAAAATCTGTCATGACGGGGGGGAAATGAAGCCAAATCCGTTCAAAATCGATGCCCCAGACCTCTCCCAGGGTCCGTCTGGTGCAGTTCCCCCAGATCCGCTGTTCACGGTCTTGGGACTCGAAAACAACCCGCACATGCCAAAAGAGGCAATTAGAACACATTCTCGAACCTGGAACCTCTGGAACCTGCCCGCCCTTTCTTTCCGCTGGCCGGAAACGGGGCTGGATCACCTCAGACCCCCGAATGGCTCCAACGTCCTGGTACTTCGTGGCGAGGCGCTGCGGCGTCTCGCAGCCGAAGTAGTTGGAGCTGAGGGCGATGACGGCCTGCCGGAGCGGCGCGTTCGAGTGGAAAAAGTACGGGTACAGCTTCGGACGCACCGGCGCAGGGCACAGGTGGTCCTGCAGCTCCTCCGGCAAGCACTGCGCCTGCAGGTCCAGGGCCTCGACCAGCACGGGCCCCGTCCACACGGAGCCGGCTGGCTGGTCCAGTAGCGCGACGAATAGCGGCGGGTGCCCCAGCTCGCGGGCCAAGAACATGAGGTCTTTCAGAAGGTCAACTCGCTCCTCGGAACGAAGAAGGCCGCAATCACTCACAAATACAGCCCTGGTGGATTTTACGCGCCGTGTCTAGCCGTCGCGACGAAGGACTCTCCGAGCGTGAAAGAAACAGCAAACCTTCAGCATAGAAAATGATACTGCCTCCCGCTCCCGCTCTGTGGCCCAGCTTGGGCCTGTCCTGGGGCTCTCTTGGGCCGTCTGGGGCTCGTCCCGGGCAATTTTCGGGCTCCCTGGGGCCGTCTTGGGGCTCTTTTGGGTGCCTCTTCGGCGGTCTCGGGGCGGTCTTGGGGGCGTCTGCGGCCGTCTTCGAGCATTGGAAGCTCGAGAATGCGAGAGAACGGAAAACATCGAACGAACCGATGCAGATACATGATGTGGGCCTCTTTGGGCTCTCTCGGGGCGTCTCTCGGAGCTCTCTGGAGCCCTCTTGGAGACCTCTTGGCCTCTTGGGCCTCCCGCTGCCGCTCTGTGGCCCAGCTTGGGCCTGTCCTGGGGCTCTCTTGGGCAGTCCTGGGCTGCTCTTGGGAAATCTTCAGGCTCTCCTGAGCCATCTTGGACCTCTTTTGGGGCCTCTTCGGAGGTCTCGGGGCGATATTGGGGGCGTCTTCGGCCGGGTTTGAGCGTTGCACGCTAATGCGATGAACATTCGAAACAAACAACCGGAAATCAAGGACCTCTTCGGGCTCTCTCGGGACGCCTCTCGGAGCTCTCCTGGGGCCTCTTGGAAGGCTCTTGGGCTGTGTATTGGCCGTGTTGGGACCATCCGGGGCCACGTTGGGGCCATCAGGGCCGTCTTGGAGCGCCTTGGGGCCCCGCGCTCCCGCTCTGTGGCCCAAGTTGGGCCTGTCCTTGGGCTCTCTCGGGCCGTCTGAGGCTCGTCCCGGGCACTTTTCGGATTTTCGGGCTCCCTGGCGCAGTCTTGGGGCTCTCTTGGGGGCCTTTTCGGCGGTCTCGGGGCGGACTTGGGCACGTCGTCGACTGTCGTGGAACGTCGGAAGGTCGAACACGCGAGGCACCGAACAGCATAAAAAAACGTTGAAAAATTATTCACTGCGTGGAGCTCCCCATATGTGCATCTACTCGCATGGACCTGTCCGCCGTGAATGTCTAGGCGCAAGAGCTTTCGCATATTAACAGGCTTCAGTTGTGACGGTCTGGACATCAATCTAACTGCGAATGAATTGGAGTGTGAATGAGCCTCAGTAGTACGAGCGCGTCTCTGTGCATGAGCCTGGGGCCTCCTGGGGCCTCCTGAAACCTACTGGGGCTTCCTGGGGTCTCCAGGAGCCTCTTGGGACCTCCTGGGACCTCCTAGGAAGGTTTCGTGCCCCAGGAGAGGCGCAATCTATAGCAACAGACGTACATAAAACATTGCGGATTAGAGCCACAGGAGAAGGGCAATCTATAGGAACACGCGTAAAACACCAAGGACTCGTGCCCCAGGAGAGGCCCAATATATAGGAACATGAGTAAAACATTTAGGATTGTGTACACAAGAGAAGGACCATCTATAGAAACATACGTAGAACATCAAAGAATCGTGCTCCAGGTGAGGCCCAATCGATAGGAGCATACGTAAAACACATGGGATTGGAGCCACTCCTGTTGCCTTCTGAGGCCTCCTGCTCCTGGGGCCTCTCGGGGCCTCCTGTTGCCTTCCGAGGCCTCCTGGCGCTTCCTGTTGCCTCCTGGGGCCTCCTGTGGTTTCCTGAGGCCTTCTGGAGCTTCCTGGGGCCTCCTGGAGCCTCTTGGGACATCCTGTGGCCTCTTGAGTCTTTCTGTGGCCTCCTGATGCCTCCTGGTACCTCATGTGGTTTCCTGGGGCCTCCTGGAGTCTGGCCCACCTGGGGGGTGAAAATTAGCGCCTCGCTCGAGACATCCTCCAAATCTGCTCCGAAAGCGAAGGATTTTGGGCCCAGAAACAAGCAAACCGCCTGAGACATCCCCACAAAATGGCCGCGAACGAGCCCGTGCAACCACCCCTGGCGGCTCCCCTTAGGGCCACGAGCCTGGCCACCAAAACAAGCAAACCGATCGAGACATCAAAAGTCTGGCCCACCTGGGGGGTGAAAATGAGCGCCTCGCTCGAGACATCCTCCAAATCTGCTCCGAAAGCGAAGGATGTTGGGCACAGAAACAAGCAAACCGCCTGAGACATCCCCACAAAATGGCCGCGAACGAGCCCGTGCAACCACCCCTGGCGGCTCCCCTTAGGGCCACGAGCCTGGCCACCAAAACAAGCAAACCGATCGAGACATCCTCAAAATCTGGCCCACCTGGGGGGTGAAAATGAGCGCCTCGCTCGAGACATCCTCCAAATCTGCTCCGAAAGCGAAGGATGTTGGCAAGACAAACAGGCAAACCGCCTGAGACATCCCCACAAAACGGCCGCGAACGGGACCGTGCAACACCCCTCGGCGGCTCCCCTTAGGGCCACGAGCCTGGCCACCAAAACAAGCAAACCGATCGAGACATCCTCAAAATCTGGCCCACCTGGGGGGTGAAAATGAGCGCCTCGCTCGAGACATCCTCCAAATCTGCTCCGAAAGCGAAGGATGTTGGCAAGACAAACAGGCAAACCGCCTGAGACATCCCCACAAAACGGCCGCGAACGGACCGTGCAACACCCCTCGGCGGCTCCCCTTAGGGCCACGAGCCTGGCCACCAAAACAAGCAAACCGATCGAGACATCCTCAAAATCTGGCCCACCTGGGGGGTGAAAATGAGCGCCTCGCTCGAGACATCCTCCAAATCTGCTCCGAAAGCGAAGGATGTTGGCAAGACAAACAGGCAAACCGCCTGAGACATCCCCACAAAACGGCCGCGAACGGGACCGTGCAACACCCCTCGGCGGCTCCCCTTAGGGGTGCTGAAACCAGCGCCCCGCCTGAGACATCCTCGCAATCTGCTGTTTATCGAATAAGTCAGACAATGAGAAGGTCTGAGTATGAGTAATTCTGAGTATGAGTAAGTCTGTGTATGAGGAACTCTGAGTAAAAGGAGGAGGAGAAGGAGGAAGTCTGAGTATGAGTAAGTCTGAGTATGAGTAGGTCTGGGTATGAGTAGGTCTGAGTATGAGTAAGTTAATGTGATCAGGTCTGAGTATGAGTGAGTCTGTGTATGAGTAAGTCTGTGTATGAGTAAGTCTGTGTATGAGTGAATCTGAGTATGAGTGAGTCTAAGTAGGAGGAGACGAGAAGAGGGGAGAAGGAGAATGAGGAGTAGGAGGCGTCCAAGTAATAACAAGAACCCCATCTTAGGATATGGGGAACAAAGATTTGGGCCCGGGGCCATCTGGGCCGACTTGGAGCGCTCTGGGGCCTCCCGCTCCCGCTCTGTGGCCCAGCTTGGGCCTGTCCTGGGGCTCTCTTGGGCCGTCTGGGGCTCGTCCCGGGCAATTATCGGGCTCCCTGGGGCCGTCTTGGGGCTCTTTTGGGTGCCTCTTCGGCGGTCTCGGGGCGGTCTTGGGGGCGTCTGCGGCCGTCTTCGAGCATTGGAAGCTCGAGAATGCGAGAGAACGGAAAACATCGAACGAACCGATGCAGATACATGATGTGGGCCTCTTTGGGCTCTCTCGGGGCGTCTCTCGGAGCTCTCTGGAGCCCTCTTGGAGACCTCTTGGCCTCTTGGGCCTCCCGCTGCCGCTCTGTGGCCCAGCTTGGGCCTGTCCTGGGGCTCTCTTGGGCAGTCCTGGGCTGCTCTTGGGAAATCTTCAGGCTCTCCTGAGCCATCTTGGACCTCTTTTGGGGCCTCTTCGGAGGTCTCGGGGCGATATTGGGGGCGTCTTCGGCCGGGTTTGAGCGTTGCACGCTAATGCGATGAACATTCGAAACAAACAACCGGAAATCAAGGACCTCTTCGGGCTCTCTCGGGACGCCTCTCGGAGCTCTCCTGGGGCCTCTTGGAAGGCTCTTGGGCTGTGTATTGGCCGTGTTGGGACCATCCGGGGCCACGTTGGGGCCATCAGGGCCGTCTTGGAGCGCCTTGGGGCCCCGCGCTCCCGCTCTGTGGCCCAAGTTGGGCCTGTCCTGGGGCTCTCTCGGGCCGTCTGAGGCTCGTCCCGGGCACTTTTCGGATTTTCGGGCTCCCTGGCGCAGTCTTGGGGCTCTCTTGGGGGCCTTTTCGGCGGTCTCGGGGCGGTCTTTGGGGCGTCGTCGGCTGTCGTGGAACGTCGGAAGGTCGAACACGCGAGCCACCGAAAACATTAAAAACAATTCGCCAGCCCAACGGGCCAGAGGCGTGCTAAGATCTCCGGTAACTGCCAAATAATACTTCTACTTCGCGCGCGCGGGGCGGCCCCTGGGGGTCCCCGGACGAAAAGTACCCCGGGCGATCCCCGGCAGGGTCGGGTCAGAGATGGTTTTCCTCCTGGTGCCGCCCCCGTGGCCCACCAGAGAGCCCCAAGAAGGGCCACGAGGCCGCCAAGAGCCCTCCAAGATGGTTCAAGAGTGCTCCGAGATGCCACACGATCGTTCCAAGACGGCCATGGCCCCCAGACGCCCCAAGAGGCCTCCAAGAGCACTCCCCAGAGGGCCCCAAGAGGCAAAATTCATTTCTTGTCCTTAGGTTTTGGCCAGATTTTGGCGTGTCCATCTTTTCGGCTTCCCGACGCCCCAAGACGGCCCAAGAGGCCCCCAAGATCGCCCCAAGAGGGCCCAAGGTGGTCCCAAGAAGGCCCCAAGATGGCCCAAGAGGGCTCCAAGACGGCCCCAGAGGCATCCAAGACGGCCCAAGAGGGGCCCAAGAGGGCCCCAAGCGATGCCCCAAAGGGGGAACACAAAACAAAACTTCGAGCCCTCGGCCTTAAGAAGCCCCCAGGAGGCCTCAAGAGGCCCCTGAGAGGCCCCAAAAGCCCCCAAGAGGCCCTCAGGAGGCTCCCAAGCGACGCTGAAGAGGCCCCCCAGCGGCCCCAAGAGGCTCAGTCATGCGAAATGGGCCGGCGGAATGAGCGAAGCGATTCAATAATGAAAATTAAAGATTTGGGACTCTTCGGGCTCTCTCGGGACGCCCCTCGGAGGTCTCTTGGGGCCTCTCGGAGGCTTCTTGGGCTGTGTATTCCGGTCTGGAACCCATCTGGGGCCACGTTGGGGCTATCTGGGCTGTCTTGGAGAGGCTTGTCGAAGTCCCCCAGGGGCTTCTGGGAGCGTCCAGGAGCTCTCTGGGGCAGTCTGGGGGCTCCACGGCCCCTCCGGGGTGCTCTGGGAGCGGTCTGAGAAACCCCGGAGCTCCCATGCCCCCCCGTGGCGCGCGCCCCAGGCGCCCGGGCCTCGTGTACGGGGATACATATATATATATATATATATATACACATATATACATACATACATACATACATACATACATACATACATACATACATACATACATACATACATACATACATACATACATACATACATACATACATACATACATACACATACATACATACACATACATACATACATACACATACATACATACATACATACATACATACATACATGCATGCATGCATGCATGCATGCATGCATGCATACATACATACACCAGGACCATCGCGCGCGCTTCGCGCGCGCGCTCAAGTTCTAGCTACGCTTGATAGGCTAATTCATGGAATCTCATTTCGGTGGCTCTTTGCATCCAGGGACTCCCTTGGAGGCCCTGCACAAGCCTCGGAATCGTATAGAGGGGGAAATGCGAAAACGCAGAAAACATAAATTTCCTTTAGGTATTCAACGATGTGGGGCCCTCAAAGGCTTCCTGGGCTCTTTTTTGGGAGGTAAGGGGGGTCTGAATTGTGGTCTGTTGTGCAAGAAAAGACTGGGGGCCAAACGTAAAACAAATGATTGTGGGATTCCCATTTCCTCGCCGGCCCAAAGGGCCAGAGACGTGCTAAGATCTCCGGTACCTGGTTCACAATAGTTCTATACTTCGCGCGCGGAGCGGCCCCTGGGGGTCCTCGGCCAGAACGTACCCCGGCAAGGTCCCGGGACACTCCCGGCAAACTCAGGTCAGAGATGGTTTTCCTCCTGGGTGCGGCCTTCCACGCTCCCCGGAGCGCGCCAAGAGGGCCCCAACAGGCTTCCAAGACGGTCTAAGAGGGTTCCGAATCACCGAACGATCGGCTCAACACGCCCAACACGGCCAAAAGACGGCCCAAGAAGCTTCCAAGACTTCCCAAGAGAGCCCCGACCCTTTCCAAGAGAGCCCCAAGAGGCCAAAACCATTGATTTCCATTTGGTTTTTCAAGGTTTTTGGATTCCTCGCCTTTTCGCGTTTCCGACGCTCCAAAACGGCCCAAGAAGCTTCCAAGACCACCCCAAGACGGCCCAAGAAGCCTCCAAGAGAGGCCCACGACCGTCCAAGAGAGCCCCACGACAGCCCAAGAGACGCCCAAGACGGTCCAAAAGGACCCCAAGAGGGCCCCAAGAGAGGCCCAAGATGGAGACCACGAACCGAAAATCCGAGCCTTCCGCTCCAAGAGGCCTCCTGGACGCCCCAAGAGGCTCCTAAGAGGCCCCAACAAGCGACAAGGGGCCCGAACAGTGCATAAAGGAAACTGCCGAATGTTGTCTTGTTCCCTGCGGTCGTATTGACGAGCAGCCATCTTCCGAAACAGAAGGTTCAGGCGGGCAAAGAATGGTTCCCGCCTGCGAAATCACCCAAAGCCAGCCATCCATAAACAAAAAAACGACCCACCAGCACCCCATTGACAACGATCACACGGGCACTCGGCAGCCGTGCACCAATACACCGCATGCGAACACCCCCACTGGGGCCTTCGGTGGAGCTCCCTATGGGGCCACGAAACGCTGCCCTGGGTGGGGGAACCGCATGCGAACACCCCCACTGGGGCCTTCGGTGGAGCTCCCTATGGGGCTACGAAACGCTGCCCTGGGTGGGGGAACCGCATGCGAACACCCCCACTGGGGCCTTCGGTGGAGCTCCCTATGGGGCCACGAAACGCTGCCCTGGGTGGGGGAACCGCATGCGAACACCCCCACTGGGGCCTTCGGTGGAACTCCCTATGGGGCCACGAAACGCTGCCCTGGGTGGGGGAACCGCATGCGAACACCCCCACTGGGGCCTTCGGTGGAGCTCCCTATGGGGCTACGGAGACCCCAAGAAAGGTCCGAGAGGCGTCCCGGGACGGCCCGAAGAAGAGGCCAACATCGTAGACTGTCATCGGTTTTTGCAATGTTTTTGGCTTCTCGCGTTTCCGAGCTTCAACGGTCCAAGAGCGCCGAAGAGGCTCCCAAGACCGCCCCAAGACCACCCAAGAGACCCTCAGGACGGCCCCAAGACGGGCCAAGAGGGCTCCAAGACAAGAGGCACCCAGGACAGCCCCAGACCACCCCACAGCAGGCCCAAGATGGGTCCAAGAGCGGGAGCAGGAGGCTTCCAGAGACCTCCGAGAGGCTTCCTGGACCCCCCAGAGGCCCCCAACACACCCCCGATCCCTGAGAGGCCCCAACAAGACTCCGATGAGGCTCCTAGAACAGCCCAAGAGAGCTGCGCGAGCCGTTCCGAGAGAGCCCAAAGAGGGTAACATCGTTGATGCCCCATTGTTTTTCTAATGTTTTTTCGCCTTCTCACGTTTTCCCGCTTCCAACCCTCGAAGATCAAGGATTTTGAAGAAAAATAGTGAATTCCAAGAATTCCCAATCTTTTTTCAAAGTGGGACTCCTACTCGGGTCCTACACATCCCCTGACATCTGGCCGGTACCGCGCCTCCTGGCTTCCAGGGGGAGACCCCAAGATGCCGAAGGACAGCCTATGACGACCCCAAGGAGCCCCCAGAAAGTAAAGAACGGCCCAACACGCTCCCGCGCAGCCTCCAGGATTTCTCCAGAACCCCCAGGGGGTAAAGAAGATCCCACACCCCTGAGGGGCCCGGCTAACAAAACCCGCGAGGCACAAACAAAAAACAGCACCGAACAGCGCCGAGGAAATCTGAAAAAATGGGAATCCCACAATTATTGAATCGCTTCGCTCATTCCGCCGGCCTGCCTCGAGAGCCGTCGGAAGGCAGACTGAGGCTGCTTGGGAGCGTCTTGGACCATCCTTTCGCATTCTGGGCGCTCCTGCGGGTCGTCTTGGGCCCTCCTGGAGCGCCGTGGAGGCTCCCCAGAGCGCCTGGGGGAGCGGTACCAGGAGCGTCCCCGAGATGCGGCGGGGAGGTGTGGCACCCGGGGCCGGGGGGAGGGTATTTACTTGTATATTTATGATGTCTCTCTCCCCCCTTCTCTCCCCTCCCGCTCCTCTCTCCCTGTCCCTCCGTCCCCCTTCTGCTCGTTCCGAAGTGTAATCGACGCGCCGATCATTAACACAAGCACGCTGGCAACTTCCAGAACCGCGCGGCTGCTCCCCCCAAGGGAATATGACTGGTCCTTGGCCGCGATCTTCAGGGAGTTCGGGCCCGAGGCGTTTTCCACGTCCTCGCGGGGCAGAGGGCAATGCGTCACGAGTCTGAATCATTGGGATCCCAGTTGCGGCCAGGTTTCGGCACTCGATAATACAGACAGGGTACAGAGCAAATGGTAGTGGAGAATCGAGAATCGAGTATAGAGTGCATAGGGCAAAAAACAAAGTACATAGGATAGAGAGAACCAATGGTGGACGGGAAGAGAGTAAAAAACTAGAAGAGGGTAGCGAGGGTAGGGTGGAGGTGGGTGGGTAGGGAGCAGATAGTGCAGAGTGTGGGATGCTGATAGCGTGTATGGTATAGCACTATACAGTGCAGGGCAGCAAACTCAGAGCGCAGAGCAGATAGACTGGAGCGAAGAACAGAGAGCAACAAGTTCGCGGTGCCCCCCCACATGCCGCGATCGAGCAACTTGCTGAGACCTCTTTCTCTGTAGCAGAAACAAAGCACTCCTCTTTTGTCATCCACCCACCAATCCTTCTGTTCCTGCCGCGTCTTGGTGTCCGGCGTGCCGACGAACATGTTCGAGACCCAGGTGCGGTTGGAGAGCTGTGAAAAGACCTGGGAGAATGAAGGCGAGGTTCGGCTCGAGGCGAGGCATCACATCAGCAGCGACAGTGCCCCCTGGGACAGCTCGTGCGAGGCCTGGCGATGCGAGATGGCACTGGTAACTCGTCTGTCGGTGCGGGAAGGCGGGCAGAAGCAGCAACACCTGTCGGTGCGAGAAGGCAGGCAGTGACAGCACGAGTTCTATCAGCTACACTGCTGAAAACAATCCCATGTGAGCAGGCTGGCAGTGGCAACGCGGACCGTCAACGCCAACAGAAGGACGGAACCAGGAACACGTGCGCGCGATGGCCGCGGCGGCGACCGATTGCAAGACGGGCAGAACAAATTGCAGGGGAGCCAAGTACCGTCAGCTATCCTGCGAAGGGCTGGGCTCAAGTTGGAACCCACCTCACGAACAGTGGCTTGTGAGATCGAACCTAGCCCCCCAAGACAGGCCTGCGGATAGGGAAGTCTGTACCGCCACCGGTTAGAACTCCGTGGGATCTTCCGGAGGTCTAGACACTCATACCCAGCTATAGATTCCTTCTCCTCCTCCTCCTCCTCCTCCTCCTCCTCCTCCTCCTCCTCCTCCTCCTCCTCCTCCTCCTCCTACCATCCTCCTTGTGCTAACCATCCTGCAAGCCCTCTGGGCGTGAGAGGTGTAGGGCGTTCCTCCCCCTAGCCCGCCTATCCTTACTTCCTATGATTAAACACCCCCACATCCACACCTAGCTGGCCGATAGCAACCCCGCCGTTCTGACTGTCAAAAAGCAGCACCAACTAATGCTTTGTCTCGACGACATGTCGCCGAGTTGCGAATAGTGTAGCAGGAATTTGGCATAATGAACATCGCTTGGGTAACCCTGAGCGGGTGGTCGCTTCCTACCCATCAACCAACAATACAAAGGCAACGTTTTTCTCGTCATCGTGGACTTTCTTATCGTCGACGCTGCGATATATATATATATATATATATATATATATATATATATACATAAACGAAGTAGCAGGAATGGGGCGTTGCGCGCATCGCGCGCGGACGCCTGGCCAACCCTACGCGGGACCCCCCGTAGCGGCAATGGGATGCCCCACGAATTCCCAAGAGGCATCATCCTTTTCCTCCTCAGTGTCTCCCTCCCTCCCTATGTTCCTCCCCTCCTCCTCCTCCTCCCCCTCCACCATGCGCGGCAGGAGCGAACCGATTGGCGGTACAACACGCGTGGCTGGAATGAGACGCGGCCTCGCGCGCTGGACATGTTGCCGCCGACGATGCAACATGAGAGGCCAGAGCGGGGCGCGGCGTACATCGAGCGCGGTCCTGTTTCCCGCCGACGTTGCTCAACACGCGGCAAGAATAGTACGCAGCTCACGTCGCGTGCTGAACGTCTAGCCGCCCACGGTATGAGATGAGCAACAGGCGTCGGACGCGACGAACTGGCTTCTTATGTTGCGGGAGGGAGGGTGGGAGTGGACGGAGCCCTGTGGCTCGTTCGACCTGGCTAACTTGATCCTCCCCCTACCCCCTACCCTGGACCTGGGCGGGGGGGCCGCAAGGGGGTCTGGAATGTCCAGGATGGCCCAAGATGGCTCGAAGAGGGCCTCAAAGAGCCGAGGATGAACTCCAGGATGGCTCGAGATGGCTCAATGTAACTCAAAATGGCTTCAACATGCTCCAAAAGTCCCAAGGCCGCACCAAGGCGGCCCTAAGAGGCCACGGAACCTCTTAAAGAAACCATCAAGAGGCCGACATCCATCAAACACCTGAAGGACATGGATGTGGTCTGCATTCTCGCCTTTTCGATGTCGACCGCCATGCGAAGCCTCACGATGGCTCCAAGAAGGCTCAAGGGAGCCCCACGAGTAGCCCAGGCGGGTCCCAAGATGGCCCCAAGACCGCCCAAGAGCGCTCCAGGAGGGGTCCACGAGGCGATGTTAGGGGCTCTGGAGGGGCAGCGCTACTTGAGTTCCCCCCCTCATGTATTGAACTGCTCCCAGATGGCAACCCAAAGCTCCCTACATTGCCTCAAGAGGGCCCAAACCGGCACCCAGAAGGCCAATAAGGAAACCCCCCAAAGGTCCACAAGAGGTCTGCAAGAGACCTCCAAGAGGCCCGATGAGGATGTCCCGAAACACTCAAGACGCTCCAGGAGGCACCCGGGACCGCCAAGAGGCCCCAAAGACGCCCAGAGAGGACCCCAAGAAACTCTCAAAAACATCTGAAGAGACCCGAGAGGCATCAAAGAGGCCTTTGTCCTTTCTACTCGTCCTCCTCCTCCTCCTCCTCTTCCGCCTCGTCGTCCTCCTCCTGATTCACCTGATCCTCCTCCTACTCCCTCCTCCATCCTCCCCCTCTCCCTCATCCAACAGTCAACGTATACGCTCGTCTTGTACTCCCTCTCACTGCGCTGCCCGCTGCCCTGCTCTCGTACAAGCTATCGCGGCGGAACCTTTCCAAGGGAAGGAGAGGAAAGTACATTCTCAGTGCTCGTGCCGCCACCTCCTGGCGGGAAGACCTGCGCCGTCTCTCGGCGCGCAGAACACGGGCTGCAGCCTTGATACGAAACAGCGGCGGGGGCGCGGGGTCAAGGCGAGGCACCGACGAGCCCGTCGAGAGGGTTCTGATCACTCTGGTAGTACTTCGAAACTGCTCGCTCCTCATGATCTCGTCCTCTCAGTAGCCGATGTCACCGGCTTGTCGAGCTCCTGACCCCATACCGACTCACTGGATCCTCGAATGGGAGTGCACCCAAGACGTAGTCGTGCTGACTTGGAAGACTTGGTCAGCTGCCGGCGTCCAGACGAAAGCGCATCCAGAAGTGGTTCTCGTGCGCATGCGCCCTTGGTCATAGCATCTGCCAGCGCGTCGACCGTACTGCACCACCACAGTCGTTCCAAGAGACCAACACTGAATTGTTCTCTCACGGCCATCACAATACTGATGAGTGACTCCTCTAGCGGCAACTTGACGTCCTGGGCGGTCACGGACTTGAAAACCGAGTCTGCGTCGATGACTGCCTCCATGCGTATTGGCCAGTTGCCTTGGGATGCGTCACTTGCCATCTTGTGTGCAGTGGTGGTGCGGTTAACCACTTCACTGTGCTGCATTGCGATCACTTTACCTGGTTCAATGGCGTCATCCATTCCATTGATCTCCGCCGCGAAAGTCGATCTCGTCACTCGACGATGTCGCTTGGATACGGCCTCTAGCCAGTGGGCTCTGCCGCCGGGGTTGTCGTCCTGCTTCTCAGCCAACGCCAGTAAATGTCCAGGGCGTGCCATGACTTCACCGTTCTCTCGCTTGAAGGCCGAGTCGCTGATGACAAGAATACGTAGCGGCGGCGTCAACTTCTCAAAGCGGATCGCGCAGGGCTTGCGTTTGACCCACTTCAACACGCGGTTCAGATTGATCACGTCCATGATGGTGGGGGCCTTCTGGTGGCGCTGTAGGGCTCCCACATAGACCGCAATGTCATGCCTGGTGTTGACGGTCCATCCTAAGCCCTCTCAGGAAAGCGTTGCCAATGTCCCAGCTGAAGATGGCCCAACCAGACTGCACTCCAGCACTAAGTACGAGGCGCTGTGAAGTGCGCCTTGCAGTAAAGCTGGCTGTGTCGAGGCCGCCCTGCTGCTGGTCCATAAAACCTCGAACGACTAGACGCGCCTTGACAGCCTTCGCGCCGTCGATGATCTTCCACCGTAGTACCCAGCGTCCAGTCATAACGTTCTTGACAGCTCCTCTTGGCACAGGGCAGAAGGCCTCGAGCTCCACCCAGGACATGAGCTCCTTCAGCTTAGCTGCGAGTACGTCCTTGTGATGGATGCTTTCTTCCTCCTTGGAGAGGTTGTGCATGTCCCTCTCGATGAGGAAGCACCAGCTCTGCCTGGAGGACTCCCACCGTGCTACGAGACGCCCGTCTCGCCAGTCGTTCATGCGGGTGACGAAGTGACCACGCTCCATCCAGTGCACCAGCGCGTCATCGAACTCAATCTCTGGAGGCTCGCTGCCAGTGCTGTTCAGCTGGGTCACTTCAGACAGTGCTTCGTTCATGTTGAAGAAATCCTTTGTCTCGATGACCTGCCTGCGACAATGACTGCTGGCCGCAGTCCACCAGGCGTCAACATAGAGGTCCTCATCGTGCGCCTCCTCGTCGTCATCCATCGAGACTTCGTCGAGACGATCTCCATCCTCATCATGCGGTATGGTCTCGAGCTCAGCTGGGTCGTCATCCTCAGGTACTTGAACTTGTCCAGCCTCAGATGCTGAGGCATTCGGTCCACTGTTTGACGAAGTTCCTGGCATAACTGTCCGTGGTACTTCTTGAGCATGAGGTTCTCGCAGAGGAAGAACAGGTTGTCCAGATATTGCGGGCTCCTTCCTATCCATCCGAGCTCGTCGTGATGGCGTGGGCGGTCCAGCCAGGGGAGGTGCACTTGATCTGCCACGCTTCGATACTCGTGGTTCGTCACTGCCTGCTGGTGGCGCAGTCGGAACAGGCGTTGCGAAGCGAACGGATTTGTCAGATCTGCTTCTTGATGTCGAAGGTGTGGGCGTTCGTTGTCGTGGGTCCATGGGCTGGTCTGGAACAGGCATCTCCTGGTCAGGTCCAGGAGGATCTGGAGGATCTCGAATCTTTTCTGGTATAGATGATAGCTCCCGGCTCCGACTTCGTTCGCTCTGTGGAGGCGAACGACCACGACTGACATCAGGTGGTGCTGGTGGTTGTGCAGGTCGTGGTGGCAAGCCTGCTGGGATCATGTCCTCGTCGGAGTCGTCATCGAAGCTGCCCATGGCCCCGTCCATGTCGATGTCTGGTGATGCACGATCTCGTCCCTCACGCTGTATGGTTCTTGCGTCCGTATCGGCGACTGTGAGGAACTGCACCCAGGAGGTGTCGTGCCAGCGCCAGCCAAACACCTGTGTGGTGTCAAGACGTCGAGTCCCCTGCCACTCTAGGTAGTTGTAGCCATCTTGACCAGTGTTCCAGTAGGCGACGGGAGTGAAAGAAACTGCA